AAACCCCCTAAGCCCTGCGAAAGCAAACAGACATTTCCGCCCTGGAAGGATTCTGCATGTAAAAGCCAACGTGGATATGCACACAGGCTTGAGCAGTGGGAGATATATCATGGTTCTCCTTGTACAGCAAAGGGGTGACTGCAGATTTTTCCATCTCTTCATCCTCCCAGCCTCTCCCAACATAATTTTCAGCCACTTCTGAAAGCTTCACAGCCAGGCCACACTCAAATACGCATTCACGCATTAAATATTACCAAAACAACAAATCCACATTGGTCTAAGGCTGGAGGAGTGCAAGCACAGTTATACTTTGCTTTTCCATAAGGGGAAAGTCCAGCAAAGGGACATTGCAGAGCGTTACATCACAAGAAGCCATTTGAGAAGGAAAGAGGAGCCATCGTTCAAGCATGGCACTGCTTCCCATTTGGGTTTACCTCTTTACTTCAGTGACTCCTGCCCATGACACCTGTACTGCCAGAAAGGATTTACCCTGAAAAAAACACCCCCAAAGCAATTCCCAACATCACCACAGAGGAGGGGCGGAGGGGGGAGTGGCGGTGAAGCGCTACACAAGAAACATTAAAACTTTTGTTTTCATCGGAGAAACTGCCAAGTGACAGCAGTTTCAGGTTACACCCTAAACCTGCCTTGCTATGGTAGTTTTTCAAATTAAAATATCTTCTGTGGCCTTAGCCACTCTCAAGCCATCCATAGGCAAGAAAGAAAGGAGGCAGGGCGACACTTAAGCTCAGCCATAATTGGAAGTATGTGAAAAATGAAGTGTCAGTTCGGTCAATAAAGGGCAAAGGTGAAGGGGAACTGCAGCCCAAACTCGGTGCGAAATGTGCTCATTAAGACACCCAATCCGAGGGCTCCTGCCCACCTATCCCATTAGTCATCGGCCATCTGACCGCTTCAAATGCCTCCCTGCTCTTATTACTTTTCTTCTCCCATGTTAAAAAAAAAAAAAAAAAAAAGAAAAAAAAAGAAAAACAAAAAAAAAAAAAAAAGCGAGCTGGTATATAAATCCTTGCTCAGTCATCTGGAACATAATGTGGCCCTTCTCTCCCCCTCTTCCCAGCTCTGCTGCCTGCCTTTGCAGCCTCCAAACAACCGCCTGGAGATCCCCAGCAATAATAAACCCGATTGCCTTTTTGCCTATAGGTTGCTCAAACACCTACAAAACCTTGGGAAAAAAAAAAAAAAAAAAAAAAAAGAAACTATTTCAGCCATTGATACATTTTTACAAAGAAATATCGCTGCTTTCTACTCCTGGCTTGAAGGCGCAACAATTATTTGGAGGTTAAAAAAATGCTTTGAACGTAGGCTGAGGCTTGGGGGGAAAAAAAAAAAAAAAAAGAGAGAAACAACACATACAAATAAGGTGATAAAGTGACACTGATGGATTATTTTTCCTTTTCTCTTAAGCTAAACATGGGAAATAAAGAACTCCACTCTGGATTAAAAGTGACTGTACGAAGGCTTTGTTCAGCATCTTCCTGGTCTCACTATTTGAAAAACAAACAAAATAGATCTCTCAATATCCCAAACAGGAATCTTTGGAAGTTACAAGACATAGTAAGATAAAATAGTGCTGCCATGAGCTCAGCATCACCTGCCTATACATAAGAATTTACTTCTCTTCTTTTAAAAAGAATTTAGTGAATTATTTCTCCACTATGTAAATTCAGATCTCTTAGCACCATTTGGAGCCAGACCTCCAAATGCCTTCCCCGTTAAGTTCAGAGCAACAGGAAAACTTTTTCATAATATTATTCTGCATTCCTGTACTATAACTATCCCCTGTGATGACACAATACCAGGCCTTTAGAAGAGGTTGTGTCAACGTACTATGCAATAACATATCCTGCTGTTCAGTGGCACGAGACCTCAGAACAGGTCCCTAGCAGTTAAATATGGATTTCTGCAATAGATCGAAGCAGCTGGGAGTTATTACTATTTACTAAGTAAATAAATTTACACATTGAAGAAGACTTCAAAACGTTTACAGGAAAGACTGTCTCTCCTGATTTCAAAGCCAATCATTTGATGGGTGTTTTACACTGGGACATAAATAGGTTAAAAATATACTTTGCAGAATTTCTAGTGAATAAGGTAATGAAGAAACAATCTACAAAAAGTCTAAAAATAGACTTTAACATACTCTGAGTTATGGATTAAGGAGAATAGTCTTGCTAAAGGCTTAAGCTTTCCATTCTATGTGCCTCTCCGAAAATGCAAAGTTCCATTTACACCTTTGTGATACTTTCAACCAGGTTGCAAACCTGGCCCAGAAGGTGCTTTTACCCACCCCAGCGAGGGAAGCAGGTTGTGAGAACAACCTGAAACAAGACAGTTTCAAAGGGTTTTATTTCTGTTGATCAGATTTGCCTTTTTTTTTTTTTTTTTAAATGTCAAACGTGATCTTGACAGATGGAAGGAACCAAAAGGAACTTTTACAAACTCCTAAAAATAGGGAAGCCCATAATATACTGAATATATGTCACGCAACGCATGCATCTCGAGTTAACTCCCAGGCTTGCAAGCACGAGCATGTGGGTCCCCAGCCTTTTGCTGCCACCCCTCCACAGCACCTGGCTGCTACAGGAGTGCCATGCTGGCTCCTTCTGCTGCCAAAAAAAGCACCCAGCAGTGGTGAACACAGGGGTTTAACCACAGTGTTGCACTCCCAACATCAGGCCACAGAAGAAAAGCCACCAAATCACAGCATCTGGAAATTAAATGCAATTGGGGAGAGGCAGGATATTTGCTGTCTTTTAGTTCTCTTCCATTTCAGTCCTTCAGGGTTGTACTTGTTGACTTCTTCCCCGTAGGGAAATGCTAAAATCACATTTTGGAGGTTTTTTTAACAGAATGTATATGCAGGCATGGATGTGCTTAAACAAATGAACTTTCCCCACAATCTCAACCTTCAGAGCGTTTCATGTAGGACATAAAGCAAGGCTCAGCAAGACCACTGCTACCATTACCACATTCCTGTTCCTCAAAAATAATGCCATTTCCAAAGGTGGCAAGTGGCCTGAAGGCAAGCCTTGGTAACAGAGACTCCCAGGACAGAATGTTTTTTCCAAAACTCCCTTCCCAAACTTGACCTGAGAGTTCCAGTTATCAAATTCCCACTTTCATTACTCTTCTCCAAAGTTTTAATGCACTGAGCCTTCTTCACAAAACACTCTATCAAGCACCGGCAGCAATCCCAGCCCCAATAAACCAGTGGGGTTTGGGTAACAGCTTCAGAACTGAATAAAGCATCACTGACAAGTCCTTCTGTGAATATTCCATAGGACTCAGGCTTGAAACTCACTTTAGAAAACCCTTCCTGACTGAGGCTGCAGCATGCACCTTGCAAGGAACTTACTGCCTGATGGCACTAAGGCATCAGATATGACCAGCACTCCAGACTACTAAAAGTACCACATTTAGGAGAAAATAAAGTCTGAAAATCTTTAAAAGTACACCAGGAACTAAGCTGAATTTCCAACGTGGTCTAGGAGCATTCTGGCAAGCCTCCCCACAGATGTTTTGTCCACGCACATATCCACATAAACACACGCACATCCGTCTAATAAAAGAACAGCCCTAAATGAACACAAAAACCCTCTCAAAACACCACATTTTAGTTCAAAGCTTATTTTTGAAGCAGCTTTTTCAGCCTTAAAAAAAACCCCACGGATTTAAAGTTTGCTCCAAAAGCAAGGGGCTCTAATGAACAAGTTGACACCACTTCAACTATAGCATTGTGAAAAGCACCACTAGAATATATATGTATACATACTTGAAAGAAAAAAGGCCCCCTGAATTTATGTTGCATATCATTTTCCAGTAAAAGTCAGAGGTCAGAAGGTTACCAGTGTCTGCCTCAACTCTGCAACAGTTTACTATTCCAGGCCCCATTTTTACTAGGCTACACTTGCGATGAAGTCAGCAACTTTTCTTTAAACAATAACGAGTCTCAAATACTTAAAGTTCTATAAAGAGATGTTATTCACCACGTACGTTAAATCCGTGCATATAAAAAATTAAAATATACTGGTCTAGTTTAAAAACTAATCTTGTTAAATGCAGACTTTGCAATGCTAATCAGTACTGTTCAACCTTTTTTTGGAAACACAATTCCTTTGTTGTCTAACAGCACTTGAATGAAACATGATCATAAAACCAGATTTAAAAGTATATACCTATTGTGAGTTCAGAGTCAACTTCAATAAAGCACTCTCTTTTATATTCAGATTAAGGATCCTTTTAAAATTTTAATTGCATTAAATTAACACTAAATCCACTGCAGTTGGTCTGTTCAGAAAAAATATACTTTCAGCTTCTCACAAAAAAAAAAAAATACAGAGATTCAGCTTTTTAGATTTCAGAGTTTCTGAGACAGCACTGATTATTTGTAGAATGTCCCACTTCCATTGCACCAAGCTCATCTCATACTCTCCCTGCTAAATCAGCTGCTCCGGCCTGGCACTCAAACAGAACGTTCTTGCATTCAAGTAAATTGGAATTGACTATCAAAAAGTAAGTAAAAGCATGGCTCAGGATTTTGCAAAACAGTCCAGCTAACATCTCTTCTTTATATGCAATCAAGTTTTGATGGCGTCTCTGAAATATCAGCATGCATTTCTGCAATCTTAATTACATTTGGTTTTGAAGATTTCATCTTTTAACCCATTTGAATGAAGGAAAAAAAACCCCCAAACTTCTAATTTCTTATTTTTATTAAGCACACTGCAAATTTGGTACATATGTTGCTCTAACATGTGCCTGCTGGCAGGGTTAAAGAAATAAAGATGCCAATCCCTTTACTAGGAGGAGATGGAGGAAAAAAAAATGTCAAAAAAAAAAAAAAAAGAAGATAGACCTTTCTCAGCATGAACCCTCTAGTACCCGAGCATATTTCTACACCAGAAAGAGAGTAAGCAGTCCCTGAGCAGGCTGGTGACCACCAGGCAGCTAGGAAAGCGTGAGGGCTCTGTTCCTAC